AAAGTTGGCCATCCCCCCGCCCCATGTTTGCCGGTGGATAGCGCAGAGGTCTAGAAGATACACAACCATGAGGTAGCCTACCCTTTTGGATAGGATCTCACCGCAACCCTAAACCCCAAACCCTATAGAGATCCTTTCTCTGAGGACGTCTAGAACAATCCGCACACGTCGCCTTGGCATTCGTCGGGCTCTTCAGGCTGGCCCTTGCTATTACAGTTATTGTTATTGTGTTTATATTGTTATTATTACTATACTAGGTTTTTCTAGAAAAACCTATTACAATTATGATTCTTATTATTATTGCTATTATTATTGTCGCTATTTCATATGAATTAAGCACAAATAGTATACCCTCCACCAAGACAGCCAGCCAAGGGATGCCCGAGTAGAAGTCTGAAATTTTGAGTTTCCCAGGTAAGCCTAGTAGTAATGTAGGGGCTTGAGAAACCAAAAGACAACAGTGGGGGTGCCGTACCGATGTCCTCCCCAGCCTCACCTACAGTAACATTTCGCTGCTCTGTGATGCGGGGATTGAGGGATGGTCATCTTCCCATCTTAAAGAACGATCAATTCGATTTCTGCGATCCTGTTCGCAGACCTTGGAAACATTTCACATGCCAGTCACAGTGACTTGGCCGAGTTGGCTGGCAACGAAGGGTGCCTTTATTGGGTTTGGTGTTCAGGGTGTTTGGCTTCCACGGTTTAGGGTGAGAGGGTCTAGGTCTTGGGGGTGTGAGAGTAGTACGGCTCCTCCTCAAGCATAAGGCCTACTACATACTGCAGCAAGCACCACCAAGAAAAAAACAACTTACATCGAAATCCACCAACCCTCCAGCAACAACAAGGCACCCAATGCATATGGTTTTTTGCTTAGGTGCACGAAGAGTCTAGTGAAAGCTTAGCACAAGCTGAAGAAGCACAAGGCAACATCTTCGCTAGACGCACCTACGAGCACCGAATTGACCAAGTTACTACAGCACTACAGCGGTGCATGCCGAACATTATTGATGGTGCTGTCAGAGAAATACAACCATGAACAAGGCTAGAAACCAAGCTGTCCACATCCAGGTGATGCTGCTGTCCAACTGTTGTCGTTGTCGTTCTTTGGGCAACCTGTCACACGGCCCTGCATTGCAACACATCTGCCGTTTGCAGCTCCTGGTTCGGAAGCCGCAGTAGTCTTACAGCGTCATGCAGGCGCCCGGGTCCCCGAATGTCTAGGCTAGAGGTATTGGGTTGGGGGTTTACGGTGGTATTAAGGCCGAGAAACATAAACCACCCAAAATGTAGGTGAAATAATGGACCAAGATCCATCAAAGCCCATTATTCTACATGCACCCTAAACCGTAAAGGCCCTAAACCCCTAAACCGGTCCAGCTACGAGGAGTTGGAGAGGAAATTGGGAGGGGGGGACCAGTAGTTCCAGCTTCCAGAGCACCTCCAGACTCTACAGGTCGTCCTGAAACCTGCTGAGGGTTTAGGGTTTAGGGCTTACGGGTTTACGGTTTAGGGCTTAGAGTTTAGGGCTCAGGGTTGTCTGGGCTTTTGTTAAAGGATTTAAGTTTACGTAAGTTACCAGAATAAGGAAACCACCATATTAACGATAGATCTTAAAAATTGTCGTAACTTGAACTAATCCCTTAACAAGAACCCAGTGAATTCTTAGAGTAGAGGAGTGGGACATGAAGGGTCCATGTTCGGAGGCCCATCGCAAAACGAAGAGTAGATAATGTCGAGGCCTTAATGTAATTAGAATAGGGTTTGGGGGGTATATTATACTCTAGTTATGATAAAGGAGCCCCCCAAATAGTGTTGGTAATTCTTTAGGCTCGTATAGTAGCTATGAGAGGATGCCTGGGTCAAGCCTTTCAGCCACAGCATCATAGCATCGTTCGTCCCGACCCGGTGTCCATATGCGTCCGTCTCAATACAGGTCCGGCGGTCTTCCAGCTCGACTGGGTTTTTGTTAAGGGACTTAGTTCAAGTTACCATAATACGGAAACCACATTGTTTACTATATCCCTGTCTAGGAAACCCCTTAAGAAGAAGCCAGTCAACAGCCACATCAGCCCAATATTTCCATGGACCCTCATACTGAGACGACCCACTCACTGCGGCGTGCGTAGAGGAGGGGATAATTTCATGATTTGTGGTGCCCCACGCCGGTGCACTTTGGCGTTGACGTGCCAATGCACGTACGAACATCGCTGGCGACTACTAGAATGCTACCTTGAACTACCAAAGCCTACTTTACTGTGGTTCCCTATAGTTTCCATATTAGGGTCTATAATAAGAACCTGCAAATTGGTTATGGTAGTTTGAAGCATTTTTCCGTCTTCATGACGGGAGCCGGAGCCTCTCCGATAGCCTAAACGTCCCCATCCTCTGGGCCATGCCCGGCGATAAGGACCGGGGGATCTGAAATGGACCCGACGGCTTTCATCACCTCGGTGGCATGTTGTAGCCGTGCATGGACGGGTGGGGCCTGTGTCTGCAAATTGCACTAACGTGCGCACGTGATTTTGTGCGCCTGTGTAGCCAAGAACGCACGCGCATGTTGAAGTAGATCACTGCATGATCGCAAAGGCGGTATCACATGCAGATGTATGACCATGCAGAGCATGTACACATGCATGCAGACGGACGCATCCATGTACACATGCACAGATTTCCAAACAAACACGGCAACGCTTGTTCGAGACAGTTCAGCAAGTTGGGTGTGCTTGCTGGTGGCCAACCTTGTTTATCATGGTTCCAGGCGTCTCATCTTCTCAGCATAATTCGCAAGTCCTGTAACTCCGGGAGTGCATACATGAGAGAGGACGAAGAGACGGTCCTGCAATCAATCCTTCATACTCATAGGGCTCCATCAGCTCCTATCCGACTTAGTGCCCCGACTGGCGCAGTGGTGAGCGGGCCAAAAAGTCGGCATCCACCTCACAGGCCAGGAGTTCGGGACATAACAGATCGAATAGGATTGCTGGGGCTGCGGGATCATCAACAGAAGGTTCGTCAAAACTACGTTTTATCTGGGGAACATGCGAAGCTAGGAATTAGGGAAGCTGCGTGTGTCTTTACAGGACACAAGCATCGAGGCTTCGGAGATTATTTTGGGATGATTCAGCAGGCGAGAATCTACTCTGATTCTGGAGGGGCTGTGATTCCGAAAACTTATTCTGGGGCTTGTTAAGCTAAGGACCTGGCATCGAGGAGTGGAAGGCGGATAACATAGGGACCTTAATGATTAGAATAAGAATTTGAATATTTTCTACCAGAGTTAAAATACGGAACCCACCAAAATAGTTTTGGTAATTATTTCGGCCCCTAAATTATATCAAACCCTAAACCCTAAACCCTGAACCCTTTCAATGGACAACTGCACGGCCCTAACACCGAAACTGGGAAGCGAACCCGACCCAGAATACCCTGCCTTAAAGCCTTCCAACTCCCAACCCTTATTAGCCCAAAGCTCCCCGAAGAACCCTACGTTTTTGATTCAGCGCCTCTTTTTCAACTCTGGGGTTTAGGATGGTCTAGGGGGCTTAGGGTAGTTTAGGGCTTCGGGTTTAGGGCCCTTACACTAAACCCCTAAACCCCTAAACCCCCTGAACCCTAAACCCTAAACCCCTGAACCCTGAACCCTAAACCCTGAACCCTAAACCCCAAACCCTAAACCCAATACTCCCAAATCCGCCGCCTTGCCGCGGCGCGTGGGCGTCCCCAGGCCAGGGCAACGCTTCGGTGAGCTTCCTTTGGGTTCAGGGTTTAGGGCTTAGGGTTTAGGGCTTAGGGTTTCCTTTGGTGTTGGGGGCGTGCTTTTTGCGGTTTAGGCATTCGGGGTTTAGGGTTTAGGGGTTTAGGGGTTTAGGGTTTAGGGGTTTAGGGGTCTAGGCCTGGGATTAAGATAGGGCTTCAGAGGATTAGGGGTATTCAGGATCAAACAGAGGGTAGATGGAGGGTCCAGGAAGAGCCTTAATAAGGACTAAATGGCCCTTAGAAGTATCGGCCCTCTGCACCCTTGTAATCTGAAGTCCTATATGGCATCTAACTGTTTTAAAGTGCGTGAGGATAGTAGGGCCCTTAAAGACAAGACCGGGCTTTAGGAAGGGCTTCTTGACCAAGGAACTGCCCCAAACCACAAACCCCAAACCCCAAAAAGCCCTAAACCTTAACGGGTTTGGGATCTAGGGTTTAGGGTTTAGGATGTGAGGATTTAGGGTTTAGGTTTAGGGCCCTGAACCCTGAACCCTAAACCCCAAACCGAAGCGAATGAGACTAGGATGTTGCACACAGACATCTCGACCATCCGGCAGCTCGAGCATGCGGAACCCAAGCCTAAACCCGTTTCCTGTTCCTGCCCATCTGAGACGGTAACTCCCAAGAAATCACTGTTAAAGCAACTCTAACATACGGTAATGGACGCCTAACGCACTACAATATACACTGATGTTCGTGGCCATATTGATTGCAATAATACGAAATAACCGCAGTGATATTAAATGCTTTCTCGAACATGACAAGCCGCAGGACCCCTAAACAATAAACTCAATAGCCCTAAACCCCAAGCCCTAAACCCCAAACCCCAAACCCTAAACTCTAAACCCTTAACCCCAAACCCTACGCCCTCAAACCCTAAACCCCAAACCCTACACCCTAAACCCTCTAAGCCCCAAGCCCTATAAACCCCAATCCAGAAACCCTGAAACCCTTAACCCCAAACCCTATGAAACCTAAACCCCAAATCCTACACCCCAAACCCTAAACCCCAAACGCTACACCTTAAACCCGAAACCCTGTAAGCCCTAAACCCTGTAAGCCCCAAATCCTGAGGGCTTTGAGCTTGGATTCAAGGCAGGGCTGCTGTTTTCTCGTCTCTTTGCCGAGCAGTCTGGGGGGTGTCATTGGCTTAGGGTTTAGGGGTTTATAGGGGTTTTGGGTTCAGGGTTTTAGGGGTTTAGGATTTAGGGCTTTAGGGGTTTGGGCTTTAGGGCTTTAGGGGTTTATACGGGTTTAGGGTTAAGGGGTTTAGGGGTTTCGGGGTCATTGGCTGTCTCCTCGCGGGAATCTCTGAGATGCCTCACGAAGGCCCTCAAACTGCGAACCTCCGCCTCCAAGTCCTGGATTCGCCTCTCGGACATGATGTGCAGGCGCTCGAACTTCTCCTAAACTTTTCAGTAACCAAGCTGGGAAAAAAGTATATGCTGTTTTGGGTTAGTTAGATTATATTAGGAACGGAATTTTTTGGGCTAGTTATAGTATATTAGGAACCAATACCCCCAAAAAATTAAAAAAAAGCAAGATACTACTGAACATCCATGTCTCCCGCTTGGAGAGGGGATGGTCCACAGGTCGCATCGGCAGCTCACGATCGGACTGGCACAGGATGGTGGCCTCCCAGTGCTTCACCGCCCCTGCCAGGCAGACGGTCGAGATGAACTTCTGGATCGCACCATTTCTCCGGGCAACGGCCGCCTTGGCGCGGCGCTTCCGGCCGCGCTTCGGGGCCTCGGGGCCCTCGACGGTGGGTGCCCTGGCTGCCACTCCACCGCTGATGACTCCAAGCAGCCATGAGCTGAACTCCTTTTGGTCAATCGTGCTTGAGCCATCCGCATCCAAAGCACGAATCATGTCATCGATCTCTGCTTCACGGATCAGGCCTCGCTGTGAAAAGAAGGCCCGCAAGTCTTTCTTCGACACGTGCCCGTCACCATTCACATCGAAGAAGCTGAAAGCATACTCGATGTCGGTCTCCGACAATGCCTGCGTCATCCAGAGAAACTCCTGGAGATCGATCGCACCGTCTCCATCCAGGTCCAGGGACTCGAAGAGGCTTTGGGCAAGGTCACGACTCAGGAGCCCTATCATGGACAAGGCAAACTCATCTCTGCCAATCAGGCCATCCTCATCGACGTCCAGTGCCCAGAAGGCCACCTCAGCGGCTGTCTGCATAGCTGCGTAAGCTCTCGGCGGATGGCTGCGCAGACTGAGCCAAAGGAGGCAGACAGAAACAACACTACACATCACCACAAGATTCCTGAACGGATGCCGAGCTGTTGCAGTCTTTGGTATGTACGCTTGAGGGCCTCATCTTGCTATGTCAAACTGTTCATTTCTCAACTTTAGGCCCTGAACCCACTGCAGCCGTTGCGTTGCATTGATACCAACACCGATGAGACCTCCGAGCAAAAACCTACACATGTTGTATTTGTATATATATATATATATATACACACACACACATACATACATACATACATACATACATACATACATACATACATGCATACATACATACTTACATATGTATGTATGTATGTATGTATGTATGTATGTATGTATGTATGTATATATATATATATATTCATGTTGCTTATGCATTTTGTTATCTGCTTTCTATCTATATGTCTAAAAAAAAACAAACGAACAAGTTTAAATGTGCTCATCCGTACCCTACCTCCTGTATCCTCCTGTTACCTGTACCGGACCGGCCTATGCCCCATTTGCGCGAGGACAGCGAAGGACGGGACAAGAAGCCGCCACTCAATGCAGACCTTGGTGTGGGCACTGACAAGCCCTGTGCCTCCGTTACAGGGGAATTAATAATCAGAACAGGGTTTGGGGGCCCATTGTCCTATAATCATACTATAAGGGTTCTATACTGAGGAATTAATAATTAGAACAGGGTTTTGGGGCCTATTATACTATAATTATACTCACAAGGAGCCCTCAAAATAGTATTGGTAGTTATTTAGGCCGCATTTAGGCCCCTACATTATACCTCCCGAAATACTCTGAAAGTGCAAGCCCTGAACCCGAGGGCCTAAACCGTGCCCGGCGGAGATGTCTGTGTTTTCGGCGCTAACGCGTCTCCCTTCTTAACGTTGGCAACCGTGTTCCTGGATTCCTGGCTGTGTGGACTGCAACATTGGTGCATGTCTTCAAGCTGCACATGCCCTCCACTTGTTCTTTAGCTCCGTTCGCCTTGATTTGCAACATGCCCGGATGTGCTCTGGCTCCAATTGCTGCGACTTGTCGCATTGTTTTCAACTCGCTTACCTCAACTCGGGTTGCTCCTGAAACGAAGCTTTGTGCAGTTGCTCTCTGTGTTGTGGTGTCTTCATTCTGGAAGGCATCTTAGGCGTTGGTCCATGTTTATTTCACCCCGAGTTGCTCATAAAGCGAAGATCTGCACAGTTTCTTCGAACATTGATTTGTGTTTTCGTTCTGGAAGACGATTCTCCGCACCTCCCGGAGTTGTTCACGGAGTGAAGACCTGTGCAGATTTGCAGTTCCTGCAATGGTATCAAAGGCACGTTGACCGGTCGTTCCAGCTTCATCTTCGTGTCGACGGCATCTGCGGTGTTTCGGGTATGCGGCTTCTGTTGCGGAAAACGTGGTCGGTCCAGAACCGGAGGTCCCAACCAAAACCCCAAACCCTGAAGCCCTGAGACCCTGCCCAAAAGCAGCCGGAGTCCTTCTATCGGTGCAGTCGGTGCACACATTGGTAGTTCTCCAAACTAGTCTTTTCAGGCGCCCTAAAGGGACTGTAATTTTTAGTGGGAACTGCCCACAGATTTTCTGAAGGACTAAACGAAGGGGGTGTGATATAGTGGCCTATGGCCTAAATCATTACCAATACTAGTTTTGGGGGCTCCTTATCGCAGCCATATAGCCTAACAAAGCTCAGTGTTCCTTCCTTGGGGCTCCTTGTTAATCAATATACCCCGAACACTCGAATTTAATTATTAAGGTCCCAATATTAGATTTCAGGTCTGCCTGACCCCTGAACCGGCGTCCCGATTTTTCCTGGGTTCAGGGCTCTAGGGTTCATGTAGTGGTTAGGGGTTTGGGGTAAGCCTTTAACCGCCTAAAGTTCCATTGAATGTGGAGGGCTCTAATCCCTAAACGCTCATAATATTGGGGCCTAAATATTTAGAATACGGCGTGGGGTCCTTTGTAGTGTAACTACAATGAGGACCCCGCAAAATCATATAGCAAGTCTTGCCTGGACCCCCAAATTGTGTAGAATAATAGCCTTTTATGGGTCTTGGGCCATCATTTTACCTACTTGTGGGGGTTCAGGTGAGGCCCCCAAAATAGGTTGAACCCGAAACCCTGTCGAAATCCTGAGGTCAAGTGGCGACAGCGCACGGAGCCCCGGCGTGCAGGGGGAGGGACTCCCCTCCGTATCGGTGCCTTGGTGGGGCCACAAAAGGCTCTACAAAAGCTGTATAATGCCCTGGGTTTCCTAGTTTAGGGTTTGGGGCTTTGGGGGTTTAAGGGTTTGCTTTGGGTTCTATGCCGAGGCTTGGGCCTCCAGGGGGCGCATCATGCTCATCAGCTGGGGGTCTGCGGGCTCTGGGGGGGGTCTGTTAAGAACAATTTCTGAATTTTCCGTGTCCGTCTTGAAGGAAAAGCGGCCCCCACCCCAACCGAAACCCTGCGAGCTTGTGGTCGTCAGGGCCTGCTTTCTTCGATGCTATAGGGGCCTTAAAAATTAGAACAGGGTTTTGGGGTATATTATGCCATGATAATAACAATAGGAACCCCCCAAGACCCTTTCTCCATTAGGCTCAAAATAGCCCAAATGCCTTATATAGTATGGTTTTTGGACCCTAAGAGCCTTAAAATATGAGTCCTTAGAGCCTTAGCGTTTGTCTATTGGGCCACCATGGCTAAACCCTACGGAACACTCCGGGGACCCCGGCGTGTCCTGCGAGGCGGGGTCCTCCGATTGGTCGTCTTATATTCTTGTCTTCGGCTTAGGGTTTAGGGTTTAGGGGTTTAGGGGTTTAGGGTTTAGGGTTTAGGGTTAGGGCTTAAGGGATAAGGGTGTAGGAGTGCTTGTTTTTTGCTGCTTCTGCTTTTTTGATGTTGCTGCGGGGTTAAAGGTCTAGGGTTTAGGGTTTAAGGGTTTGGGGTTTATGGCTTTGGGCTTATGGGTCTTAGCGGGACTCTTTAACAGGGTGCGCGTTTGGGGGCTTACAGATGGTTAGGGCTCACGGGTTTTCGGGATGTGCAGGGTTTAGGGGTTCGCGTTCGTTTCTGGTTTTCGCGTTTAAAGTGTGTAGAACTATGTCGCACATACGGCTTTATCCGGGCTTGATTTCTTGAGACGAGGGTCGAAATTTGGGTTCTAGATTAACTCTGAGATGCAAGGGTCCTAGAACAGAGCCGACCTCTACATGTCGGCCCCCCGAGCTATGTGCCCTTCTGAATGGATTGGGTTTCGGATCTACAAAGCCGCAATCACGTGCAGCTCATGGCACCCCTCACCTGAAAAATCCGCGTCTTCACATGACATGATGGTGAGCTTGACTGCGTTAATCCCCGCATATCGCATAGCAGCATCGGCAACTGGCAATCCACTCCTGTAGTACCCCAAGTATACTTTACACCCGTGATTCCACCCAGAAGCCTGTTACAGCTATATGTGGAGCCAAAACCCTAAAGCCTAAACCCTAAAACCCCTTGAACTCTCTACCTAAAGAAAAAAGACCCCCAAAATCCTCAACCCCACAGAACTCGTACCCTCCGACACCGCAACCCCAACGCCCCCAAAAAGTGAATCAGAAGAGCTCTCCTACATCCTACGTTGCCGAGACTCGAATCAAGAACCTTGCAAACATAAGCCTCGACCTGCCGCCTTCGGACCCGTGGCTCCTCGCCATCATCGATTCGAAGTCGCGGCCTGATAGTGGGGAGTCTTGTCATGAGGATTGCCATCCTTCCGTCCGTCCCTCCGTCCACCCACCCAGCGAGCCAAACAGTCATCATCCATCCATTCATCAACCCATCCATCGATCGATCTATCGATCTAACGATGGTCTATGCATTGATCCATGTATCTATCTGTCTGTGACTCTGTCTGTCTATCTACCTATCTGGAATCCATCCATCCATCCATTCATCCTACCTCTCTGACAATATCCAGGCCCAGCGTAATCGAATCTTACCTACTCTATCTGATCCTATCCTACACTCTTTCAAAGTTTGGGTTGCAGGCTGCGGGGTTTCTACGTTGCTCACGTTCGGGCTCTAATTCAGGTGGATTTGGGCCTTCAGCACGAACACATCACACGACATCTAGTCCCTCTTGAGAGCATACCGAACCACCCTGAACAGCATTGGGATTTGACGTTTTGAGGCTGCCTGTAGGATTTAGGGGTCGGGCTTTTGTCTTCCGGCTTTGGGTTTAGGTGTCGTGAGGGTTTAGGGTTTAGGGTTCGAGTTTGGGGAATACTGCGTACGGCGCTTGCGCAGGCACCACACCCTATGCACTATAGGGCTTTTAGCGGCTTGGCATCCCTTTACAGGTTTGCAAACATCAAAATCCAAACATCCAAGTTGAAAGTCAGGGAGAACTATTTAGGAGTTGGGACTATGTCCGACTGCATAGATACACAGGAGGTCGAAATTCAATGAAGGGTAGCCCTCCCCAACCCCTGAGCCTGAATACGCACAAAACCAAGCCCCTATAAGCTGACAGCCGGGCTCCTTTAAATTAAAAGTCCTTTTAAGCGCGTTACTTTAGGGCGTCCTTTAAAAGTTTAACCCTAAAGCTTCCCAGACCCTTCTCCTCTTGCTTCCTCTAAACACTCCAAGCCCTGAACCCTCTGAGCCCTAAGTCCTCAACCCTAAAAACCCTAGACCATCTAAGCCCTAAACCCTCTAAGCCCTTAGCCCTAAGCCCTAGAAACCCTACAAAACCCTGAACCCTAAAAGCCCCCAAACCCTCGAAGCCCCAAGCCCCAAACCCTAAAAGCCCTAAGCCCCCCTAAACCCTCCAAGCCCGAATGTAAGTGCCTGAATAATGAGAATAGGGTCTTGGGTCCCATTATACTACAATTACAATAAAAGGAACCCCCCAAAATAGTATTGGTAATTATTTAGGCCCCTAAACCCTAAACCCATATAGAACCCATTATAGTAACCCTTATAGACCCCTT